AAAAAAAGGAGGAGGAAAATCTAGGTATGTAACAGGAAAAGAAGAGTGGGATTAATTAGGGAGCCCAGGTGACAGTCTGAAATTACCTTTCATGAAGTGCATTTTTTCTTCTGTTATGACATCATCTGAATCCAAGTCAGTTTCAGATACATGATCTGTCAAGCAATGAGGAACAGCAACAGGCTCACACTTCAAGCTTCCTGAGCCTGGGCTTCCTTCCCCTTTGTGACAGCTCCCATCCTCTCTATCTGGCTCTTCAGAGTCCTCTGAATCACTCAAGATCTTTGCTTTCTTAAAGAAATTTGCATTCTTGCGAAATGTATTGTCTTGTGGCTCTGAGTCCTCTTCCTCTGATGAGCTCTCTGCCTTAGCTCTCTGTGCAGATGCGGAGGGGCCAGCAGGTGTGTTCTGTCTAGTGTCTGAATCATGACTTTCAGAGTCTTCCGCAGAAGAGTCAATTTTAAGAAACTTTGTTTTACAAGCTGCTGTAGTATGGGACTTACAACCATTAGCATGCCAATTTTTACGGGCAACTCGCAAGTCACTTTCTGACTCTGAATCTCTGTTTTCAGAGCCACTGAGGGTATGCTGCACCACAGCAAGAGAACTGGACAGTGACAGTGGTTGGATCTGGTCTTTTCCTTCTTCGATCTCTGACTTGAGGCTCTGATCATCCTCTTCAGAATTGTGTAGTAGCTTTTTCCTAGCTACAGCTGAGGCATTGCGATGAGGCAGCTTCCGACCAGAACACGCACTGTCAGAGCTTGACTGTTCTTCTGCGTCACTCATTAACTTGATCTTACTGGCAGCCACAGCAGCACACTTCCGTAGGGCTTTCCGGTTACTTGCTGCTTTGGCTTTCACACTACCATCTGCTTCCAATGAATTGTTATCAGAATCGCTTAAGCAGACTCTCTTTCGAGTGGCTTTTCTGCCATATCCATTTTCTAAAGAAACAGAACCTAAAATAAAGTGATATATTTAGGTAAATTCTTATTTCAGTGTTTTATTCCTAACACAGTCCTGCTACCTAAAGGCCACACTGGCCTCTGACTCAGGATGATGCTGGAACGGCTTCCTATGGTGCCACCAGACCTGGCTATGAGCCCAATGTGAGCCCAATGTTTTAAAAGTGACTATCACATGCTGGTGGTGATTTTCCTTTGCAAATCAACAGAGCTTAACAAACATTTCATCATACGTAATAGGTTAATTCAATTATGTCAAGTAATTATTGATTAGGAGGAAAAAAAAAACCGACTGTTCGGTCTCTTACCAGTTTTCCGCTGAGCAGCTCTAGTTCTGGTCACCCTGAGACCGCTGTTACAGAACAGACCACTCTGAAAGGAGTCAGGTGCTCTGCAGCTCTCACTGCTTTCCTCTGAACTGTCTGAAGCTGAAGAGGCTGCAGAGGTAGCTATGGAATCTTCCATGTCACTTTCTAAAAAGTAATAAAAAAGATGTATATTCTCCTGTTTGTACCACACAAGCAAGCACTTACTTCATAATCATAGTCCTAAACAAGACTCTTGGGGCTAGAGAGATGCTCAGTGGTTCAGAGCACTGGCTGCTCTTCCAGAGGACCTCGACTCGGTTCCCATCACCCACATGGCAGCTAACAACTACCTGTAACTCCAGTTCTACGGGATTCAACACCTTCTTCTGGCCCCCATGGGCACCAGGCACATATGTGTTACAAATACATGCATGCAAGCACTCATGCATACACAAAATAATTCTTTTTTTTTTTTTATATTTTTTACATTTTATTTATTTTTCTTTTATGTGTATGAGTGTATTGAGTGCATGTATGTGAGTGCACCCATGTCATGCAATGCCGCAGAGGTCAGAGGAGGGCTTTGGATTCACCTGGAACTGGAGTTAAGGACGGTTCATAGCCGCCATGTGGGTGCTGGGAATCGAACTCGGGTCCTCTGCAAGAGCAGTCAGTGCTCTTAACCGCTGAGCTATCTCTCCAGCCCCACAAAATAATTCTTTAAAACAAGACTCTTAAAATGCTTTTCAAATAATGTTTTAAAGAAAACTGGTAACTTTTTATATTGAAAGGCACAGTCAGTACCCAGTTAACAAGTCTATGCTCCTATGTCCAGAGCATCAACACCACACCCTGGGCTAGACTCAGAAAACACAGTTATTTTATGTTTGAGCGCCAAGTCAAAACTTACTTAGTCCCACTAACAACTGTGCCTTCAGAGAGGGACTTTATACTGAGTAGTAAAATCATTGTGGGTCCTTTCACTTAAGAAGGCACAGCGTTAGGTCTTTCTCTCACAGCTCTTTGGGACAGCACAGTTGTGCCACACATAAATTCAGTCCAAAAAAGGGTTATTTTTACGTAGTCTTCAGGGAGAAAAAGGAATACTTTAACCAACACAAGTAATTTTTCTCACTACCACACTTTGGGTGTGCATACATGGATGATGTGGCATGAGATGGTGACTCTGAGTTTCTGTTCCTACATACCTAGAGATTTTATTCTACAGATGCATCATCCCTAACAGATTCAAGTGTAGCAGATATCAGTTTGACTTCCACAGCATTTTTCTAACAGGTTACTTCCTTTCCAAAACTATCTATGGCTGTAGTTCAGTGACATCAATAACATTTGAGTGTTTTTCCTGCATGTATGTGGGTGTACCCAGGTGTGCAATGCCTGTGAAAGCCAGAAGAGATGTCAGAACCTCTGGACCGGAGTTATAAATGGTTGTTAGCCACCACGTGGGTGCTGGGAACAAAACCCAGTTCCTCTGCGAGAGCAGCCAGTGCTCTTACCTGCTGAGCCATCTCTCCAGCCCCGACTATCAATACTTTTAAAGAACTTCTCATTATTTTAAACTGTAAGACTGAACTTTGTATAAAATGTGACTATACCATTTGCAAAGCATAGATCTTAGCAAAAATGTTGTTTTACACTTACTACTTTTGTTCCCTCGTCAAATCTAAGCTCCTTCGGTTGGTCAAAGCTGTGTGTGAGCTGTTCTCCTAACCCCACAGTAACTAGCAGTGTTACACAGAAAGAGGCTCAAATGTTGAATAGAATTCTGCTTCTCACCAGATAGCACAGAACCACTTCTTAGAGTTATAGTTCTGCTTCTTCTCGTTCTTTCTAATGATCCTGAATCTGAAGAGTCTCCAGAGGTAAAACATGAAGGGACGCCAACACTCATCTTGTGGGTTGCAGAAAAAGGTGCCCTACTTGAGGTAGACTGGGGAGGAGAACATACCACCTCTGGTACTGCTTTCATCTGAGATTTTAGCTGCTTCTGCTTGATGTTTCTGGTCAAAGATACAGACGAAAGAGTATGTAACAAAACACAGAAGGAAATCATTCAGACAATACCTAGAGAAAAGTATACAGTTTCCTAACCTGACAATTTTATTAACAAGATAATGACAAAATGATCAAAGTAACAGTTACCTATTGAACACCTCAGGTTCTCTGGATTAAATGGTATCAGGAACCAACATCTGTGCCATAAAAGGCATTTACTAATACTACAAATCTGAAGCTACACAGGACACAACGTTCTAATCTTTGTTTCTAAGGATACTATAAAAGAACAGAAGTCGGGCTGGAGATGGAGAGATGGCTCAGTGGTTAAGAACACTGGCTGTTCTTGCAGAAGACCCAGGTTTTAATCCTAGCACCCACATGGTAGCTAGCAACCATCCATAACTCCAATACCCATTTCTATCCCCCAAGGGCACTGCACAACATGAGTGCACTTACACACATGCAGGCATTAAAACTCATACACATAAAAAAATGAAAAAAATGTTTAAATAAAAAGAACGGCAATCAATACAACCTGAAAAGAAAGGAAAGAGGGTGTGTGTGTGTGTGTGCGCGCACGCGCGCGTGCGTTTTAATAGAGTTTATAAATGTGGGTCTCTGTGAGTTCAAGACTAGCCTGGTGTACATAGCAAGTTCCAGGCCAGCCAGAGCTACACAGTGAGACCCAATCTCAAAAAAAAAAACAAAATCCATTTCTTATGCAACAAAGAAGCCATACTTCTAAATCTATATAAAATGCTTAAAAACTTAAATAATTTTAAAAAGCACTAATACTGACATAATCACAAATGCTTTCAAGCTATAATGTCTTACTGACTAGAGCTCAGTGTAGGCATCCAGGTCTACAATCCTAGCAACTGTGACGTTAGAGGCAGAAAGATCAGGAGTTCAAGGCCATTGTCAACTACATGGCAAGTCCGAGGCCAGTCTGAGCTACGTGAGGCTCTGTCCTACCCAGAGCAAAATAAACGTTTTCTGAATTACAAAGTACTGTAAAAGCTGAATTTTCAACAAAGACATCAAACCTTAAAAACAAAAATCAATTACATACAAAGCTCGACATAACCAATTTACCTTATACATTTCTTAGCTTGCCCACCACCATCACAATTTTGCCGCTGCTTGAATCTTTGGCTTCGTCGAAGTTTTTCCTTGAATTTTTGACCAATTTTAAAATCAGAGGAGATTTTCTTCATTTTTTCTTCAAATAAAGCAGACAATCTCAAAGTCATACTGTAAATCTACAAGGGATGAAAGCAGAACCAGAATGGCAGAATGTCTCCAAAGGCAGGTTCTCATTACCAGAGACTGAACGACGCATTGTTTCACTGATTAGGGAACTACGAAACATCACACACACACACACCTTTCAGATAAGTAGTCTTAAACTGAGTAACACTAAGATCCAGAATTCAGGATTTCTGCTTATCTATTAGTGGGTTCAAACTGGGCTTTTTCTGCATTTTAACAAAATCTGTTCCTACAAATCCCAAAATTGCAAATGTCCCCAACAACTAATTTGCAAGTTCTTATTTAGAAAGCAAAATAGCAGTGTGTGTTTGGGTCAGGGAACAAAATATTTTTACACCCATCTTTGGGCAATTTGACCAAGACGTCACCCAGTAGTAAATATGAATTACAAACAAAAGGATGTCTTAAGTTCAGTACAAGAAAATGTATTTTCTTTTTGTTTTTTGGGTCTTTTTGAAACAGGGTCTCCCTGTAGCCCCAGCTGGCCTGGAACTCATTGTGTAGACCATGCCGGCCTTGAACTCACAGAGATCTGCCTGCCTCTGCCTCCTGAATGCTGGGATTAAAGGTATGCACCACCACACCCAGCTAAGAAAAATGCATTTTTAACTTTAATGCATGGCAGAGATTTTTACTTTTAATGATTTTGTTTTTGAGATAGGGTCTCCTGTAGCTCAGACTATCCTCAGACTCACTGAATACTCAAAGATGATCCTGAACTGACCTTCTTGCCTTCATCTCTCAAGTACTGGAACTACAAGTGTGTGCCACCACACCAGATTTACGCAGTGCTTAGAACTGAACTCATACCTTCCCCAGCCTAACAACTTTTATAATTTAACAGTTAACAAGAACAGCAATGTTTTGCAAGTACTGCTGTCAAAACTTTTAATTCAGCTATGTGATTTATACAGGTGGTCTATAAATAACCTCATTAAATCCGGAAAATGAGTGTAGAAGGTTA